TATACATATATATAGAGAGAGCGAGAGAGAGAGAGAGAGTTATTATAAGTTATTATATATATTTTGATATCTAAATATATATATAGTAATTCCTTGTATCCGTTTAAGTTTTTAATACATTTTAAAGTCAAGGGGAATGAATATGATGAAAATCACTTCGCAGTAAGTGTCAATTCATTATAAACAAGTTTGTTATATGTGTGGTTTACTGCTTAATTAAATACTAGCTTTTCCTGTAAAAGACTGTTGCCCCCCACCCTTATTTTAATATTTCCAGCATTAGAACTCCAAAAATACATCCTTTATGACAAGATATCAATGTTTTTAGGTTCCAAAGCTTACGATGAGTTGGAAAAGGTTGTCAAAGGCCGGCTTCTTTTGACAGATATCAGAAAAATGTCTCCTGCAGAACAGACTTCTGGGCTTGAGGCTTTCCACAAGGTGCTCTGTCATTTTGCCCCTAAGTTTGTGCACTTCTTCCATGCACAAATGGAAGCACGGTACGTAATTAACTCTAAGGAACTTTGAAAATTGAAAGCTTTATTTTGAGGTGTATTGCATGAATTACTTAAGCCTTTAATTTACACTAAGGTTTTTTAGCTCACCTGAGCTGAAATTCAAGTGACCTTTTCTGATCACATTTTGTCTATAGCCCGTCTGTCCAGCTGTCCATCCGTCTGTAAACTTTTCACATTTTTGACTTCTCCAGAACAATTTTGTAATTCCAGTAACAGCATCTTTTAGTACCCTTTTTTATGCCCCCCCCCCCTTCAAAGAAGGGAGGGCATATTGCTTTGCTGCTGTCTGTTGGTCTGTCGGAATATCGGTCTGTCGGTCCATTTAGTTTCCGTTCATTTTCTTCACCACTGTTGCACATACTGAAATGAAATTTGGTATACAGGTTTATCAGGTGAATATCTAGGTCAAGTTCTGTTTCGGGTACGATCGCACCCTTTTTATTTGAATTGTGCCTTGGACTTAGAAAAATTCCACTTATTTACCGTTTCCATTCATATTCATTGCAGAGGTTGCACATATTGAAGTGAAATTGAGTTTATAGATGTTTCAGCTGAATATCTTGGTCAAGATCTGTTTTGGGTATGATTGCACCATTTTTGTCAGAGTTATGCCCCTTGAATTTAGAAAAAAATTCCATTTACTTGCAGTTTCTGTTCATTTTCTTTGCAGAGGTTGCACATAATGAAATGAAATCTAGTTTGAAAGGTTATACATGTAACTTAATACATTAATTGATAATTATACTGCTACCAAAAGTAGGGGGAGGGCATCTGGACTTTCAGTGAAAATTTTCTATAATAGAAATGTTGGAAAAAAGTTGAGCCCAAATGCTACATCATGCCTGCTCATTAAAATTAAAATTGTAGTTTGAACATTTCTCTTACTTGCTATATATTAAATCAATATGACAGTGATAATAATTTTAGTACTAATACAATAAATGGATGTCTGATAGACATATTCCTGTCCTCAAACACAAGTCAAGAATAAGACCCAGGTGTCTTGGTTTAAGCTTATGTGCATTCCAAACTGAAAAAAATATCTGTCCTTAAAAAATGCCAAAAAGATAAGTTATGTTCAAATGTAGTACAGAGAGTGAGTTGAAAGGGAGTTTTTGATGGGAAAAGAAAAATCCTAGACATCCAAAAACAAATAGTCACTGCTTCTCATAAAGACAAGACATTCTTCAGAATGAATGGAAGTGTATGAATGGACCCTCTACTCTACAATGATGAAAGAATTGAAATGTATTCAACTGCAGGCTTCCCAAAACGATTATGGGAGTGATTCTTCTATTCTGAAACTAGGTCAATGTAAACAAGATCTGTGTAAACAAGGTCAATTTAAAATAGGTCAATGTAAACAATGTAAATGTAAACAAGGCCAATGTAAACAAGGTCAGTATAAAATAGGTCAATGTAAACAAGGTCAATGTAAACAAGGTCAATGTAAACTAGGCCAATATAAAATAGGCCTGTGTAAACAAGGTCAATATAAAATAGGTCAATATAAATTAGGTCAATGTAAACTAGGCCAATGTAAACAAGGTCAATATAAAATAGGTCAATATATAACAAGGTCAGTGTAAACAAGGTTAACGTATGACCCCCCGGGGTAGGGTGTGGCCACAATAGGGAATCCAAGCTTTACATAGAAATATATAGAACAAATCTTTAAAAATCTCCTCCTCAAGAACCACTGGGCCAGGAAAGCTGAAACTTATGTGGAAGCATTTTTATGTAGTGTAGATATTAAATTGTTAAAATCATGACCCCCAGGGGTAGGGCGGGGCCACAATAAGGAATCCAAATTTTACATAGAAATATATAGAACAAATCTTTAAAAATCTCCTCCTCAAGAACCACTGGGCCAGGAAAGCTGACACTTATGTGGAAGCATCCTTGGGTAGTGTAGATATGAAATTATTAAAATCATGACCCCCGGGGGTAGGGCAGGGCCACAATAGGGTATTCAAGTTGTACATAGATATATATAGAACAAATCTTTAAAAATCTTCTTCTCAAGAACCACTTGGCCAGGAAAGCTGAAACTTAAATAAAAGTATAAATTTCTGGGGTAGTGTGGATTCTAAAGTTTTAAAATCATAAAAGGGAAGGGGATAGTGGGGAATGATAGGTATAGCAAGTGGGGGAATCTGGTAAAGAACTGCATCACCCAACTTACTCAGGTCAATGTAAACTAGGCCAATATAAAATAGGCCTGTGTAAACAAGGTCAATATAAAATAGGTCAATATAAAATAGGTCAATGTAAACTAGGCCAATGTAAACAAGGTCAATATAAAATAGGTCAATATATAACAAGGTCAGTGTAAACAAGGTTAATGTAAAATAGGTCAATATAAAATAGGTCAATGTAAAGAAGGTCAGTGTAAACAAGGTCAATGTAAACTAGGTCAATATAAAATAGGTCAGTGTAAACAAGGTCAGTGTAAATAGGGTTACTGTAAACAAGGTCAATGTAAATTAAGTCAGTGTAAACAAGGTCAATATAAAATGGGTCAATGTAAACCTTGACATGTTTTCTTTTTACAGATGATGAAGATGATGATTCTGTTGATGATGACTCCAGTGATGACAGTGACCTTGACTTAGAGGATGAAGAGGTAGCCAGTTTGGAGGTATATAGGGTGGAGCCATATTGGGGGTCAAAGATGTACATTGAAATGTACATCTTTAAAATCATTTTTCTCAAAAACAGAAAAGCCATGATCGATTATAATATTCTATTAATAAGTCATATTGACATGTAAGCATCTTCTTATAGTGAAAATTTAAGTTTGTTCCAAGTTATTTCATAGCTAGGTCCCAGTGACTTCATTATGACCTAGATTGACTGTAATAGTTTTAAAATAATTAATTTTCATCCTAGGAAATCAGAGAAGCTTTATTCTCCATGGACAATGTCCCACCAAATCCTGGATCCACCCAGCAAGCAGATAACAGCATCTCTCATACAAATGAGGAAGCAGCAATTTCATTGGGATATAACTCCTTCCAAGCATCCACAGTAGTAAATCAAAAATTTGTTGAAAGTTGCTCAAACACAGAGAACTCTTCAGTGACAAATATGAATTCCAGTTCTTCTTCCACACAGGCATCTTCTGAAGTCCCAAATTTGCCTCAGTCTGAGACAATTGAACCAGTTATGAGAAGTTCATCCCCATCCTCAAATATTTGTGAAAGTTTATCCACTCATGTACAGAATACATTGGATACTCCTGAAGTAATAGGGCACCAAACAGCAGACATAAAGACTGAAGAAATAGGAGATCAAGCTGTAGACACAAGGACTAATGTGGCTCAAGCCCCACTGCACTCCACACTGGTAACAAAACAGACTATTAACTCAGACACAGGAGAAGTAAATAAAGAGATTCCACCTGCTTCAAGTGAGATATTGATAAAACAAGAAAGACAGGCTCTATCTGGTGAGACAATTATAATAGGAGGACAGAAGATTTCACTTGCTTCGGTTGTACGAGGACAATGGGTGTCACCTACCTCAGGTGTAGAAGGACAAAGAAGTTTACCTGCCTCAGGTGTGACAATGAAAACAGAAGAACCACAGGATTCACTTGATTCTAGTGGGACACTATTACCAGGAGGAGGGCAGACATCAGGTGCCTTAGGTGAAGCAGGAAAGATAATTTCACCTGCATTAATATTAGGTGTGCCATTAGTAACAGAGGGAAAGCAGACTTCACCTTCCAGAGGTGATTTAATGGTTAAGGCAGGAAAACAGGCCTCACAAAATGGACGCCAGCTGGTGAATAGATGTCAAAAACAAAGAAAACAGGTAAAGATGTTAGAGGACCTTTTACAAAAAACATTAAAAATGTTGAGTAGGCTTTAGATGAATATACACAATGTACATGTACATGTACTTATGTACACATAATTTCAGAAAGATCTGCCTTGTTCCAAGAAATCCCAATCCACGGTGTATAGAGATCCCCCTGACCGGCCCCCCAGCTCCTTCATGCTGTGGCTGAACACCAACAGGAAGATGATAAGGAAGCAGAACCCGGGACTGGGCACCATAGAGTTTAGTAGAAAAGCCGGAGAAATGTGGAATGCCCTGGAAGACAAAACGGTAAGTTCATAGGCATTGGAAGCAAATCAAAAAGGGGTCTAATTGAAAAAGGAGGGGGCCTAAACCAACAGAAAAAGTTAAAACCCCAATTTTCAATGACCATATTATGTATGTATTTGCAAAAAAGGGGGGGGGCAAAGCTGCCCCCCTCCAGTTTAGAGAATCTGCGGGGTTTTTTTTTCAACCCATGTAATAAACAGAAATTGAGATTCTGTGGAATATTGACTCTGTGGAAAAAAGTACATCTACAGTATTTAATTCTGAAAATAGAAAATTTTGCTTCTTTATAAACAACCAATTATATCTGTAAAATTCATGGTATATTTCAAGGCCTCGATGAATGAAAATCAGTTCACTGTTAGCAAAAATTCATTATAACCATTGGCTATAACCTTAATTCACTACTCATTTGATTTTAAAAGAAATGGAAGAAAAAGGCCGCAAAATCCAGGAAAGAGTATGAAAAGATTATGAAGGAGTTTAGAGATCAGAGGGCTGAGAGAAGGAGGGAGGCTGCAGATGAAGAGAAGAAGGAATTGTCAAAGATCTGCATGGAATCGGCACTATCACTGAGGTAAGTTACTCAGGGAATTGTCAAAAATCTGCAGGGAATCGGCGCTATCACTGAGGTACGTTACTCAGGGAATTGTCAAAGATCTGCAGGGAATCGGCGCCATCACTGAGGTAAGATACTCAGGGAATTGTCAAAGATCTGCAGGGAATCGGTGCTATCACTGAGGTAAGATACTCAGGGAATTGTCAAAGATCTGCAGGGAATCAGCGCCATCATTGAGGTAAGTTACTCAGGGAATTGTCAAAGATATGCAGGGAATCGGCGCTATCACTGAGGTAAGATACTCAGGGAATTGTCAAAGATCTGCAGGGAATCGGTGCTATCACTGAGGTAAGATACTCAGGGAATTGTCAAAGATCTGCAGGGAATCGGCGCTCTCATTGAGGTAAGTTACTCAGGGAATTGTCAAAGGTCTGCAGGGAATCTGTGCTATCACTGAGGTAAGATACTCAGGGAATTGTCAAAGATCTGCAGGGAATCGGCGCTATCACTGAGGTAAGATACTCAGGGAATTGTCAAAGATCTGCAGGGAATCGGCGCTATCACTGAGGTAAGATACTCAGGGAATTGTCAAAGATCTGCAGGGAATCTGTGCTATCACTGAGGTAAGTTACTCAGGGAATTGTCAAAGATCTGCAGGGAATCAGTGCTATCACTGAGGTAAAGTAACTCAGGGAATTGTCAAAGATCTGCAGGGAATCGGCGCTCTCATTGAGGTAAGTTACTCAGGGAATTGTCAAAGGTCTGCAGGGAATCTGTGCTATCACTGAGGTAAGATACTCAGGGAATTGTCAAAGATCTGCAGGGAATCGGCGCTCTCATTGAGGTAAGATACTCAGGGAATTGTCAAAGATCTGCAGGGAATCGGCGCTCTCATTGAGGTAAGATACTCAGGGAATTGTCAAAGATCTGCAGGGAATCGGCGCTATCACTGAGGTAAGATACTCAGGGAATTGTCAAAGATCTGCAGGGAATGGGTGCTATCACTGAGGTAAGTTACTCAGGGAATTGTCAAAGATCTGCAGGGAATCGGCGCTATCACTGAGGTAAGTTACTCAGGGAATTGTCAAAGATCTGCAGGGAATGGGTGCTATCACTGAGGTAAGATGCTCAGGGAATTGTCAAAGATCTGCAGGGAATCGGCGCCATCACTGAGGTAAGATACTCAGGGAATTGTCAAAGATCTGCAGGGAATCGGCGCTATCACTGAGGTAAGATACTCAGGGAATTGTCAAAGATCTGCAGGGAATCAGTGCTATCACTGAGGTAAAGTAACTCAGGGAATTGTCAAAGATCTGCAGGGAATCGGCGCTCTCATTGAGGTAAGTTACTCAGGGAATTGTCAAAGGTCTGCAGGGAATCTGTGCTATCACTGAGGTAAGATACTCAGGGAATTGTCAAAGATCTGCAGGGAATCGGCGCTATCACTGAGGTAAGATACTCAGGGTATTGTCAAAGATCTGCAGGGAATCGGCGCTATCACTGAGGTAAGATACTCAGGGAATTGTCAAAGATCTGCAGGGAATCGGCGCTATCACTGAGGTAAGTTACTCAGGGAATTGTCAAAGATCTGCAGGGAATCAGTGCTATCACTGAGGTAAAGTAACTCAGGGAATTGTCAAAGATCTGCAGGGAATCGGCGCTCTCATTGAGGTAAGTTACTCAGGGAATTGTCAAAGGTCTGCAGGGAATCTGTGCTATCACTGAGGTAAGATACTCAGGGAATTGTCAAAGATCTGCAGGGAATCGGCGCTCTCATTGAGGTAAGATACTCAGGGAATTGTCAAAGATCTGCAGGGAATCGGCGCTCTCATTGAGGTAAGATACTCAGGGAATTGTCAAAGATCTGCAGGGAATCGGCGCTATCACTGAGGTAAGATACTCAGGGAATTGTCAAAGATCTGCAGGGAATGGGTGCTATCACTGAGGTAAGTTACTCAGGGAATTGTCAAAGATCTGCAGGGAATCGGCGCTATCACTGAGGTAAGTTACTCAGGGAATTGTCAAAGATCTGCAGAGAATGGGTGCTATCACTGAGGTAAGATGCTCAGGGAATTGTCAAAGATCTGCAGGGAATCGGCGCCATCACTGAGGTAAGATACTCAGGGAATTGTCAAAGATCTGCAGGGAATCGGCGCTATCACTGAGGTAAGATACTCAGGGAATTGTCAAAGATCTGCAGGGAATCGGCGCCATCACTGAGGTAAGATACTCAGGGAATTGTCAAAGATCTGCATGGAATCAGTGCTATCACTGAGGTAAAGTAACTCAGGGAATTGTCAAAGATCTGCAGGGAATCAGCGCTATCACTGAGGTAAGATACTCAGGGAATTGTCAAAGATCTGCAGGGAATCGGCGCTATCACTGAGGTAAAGTAACTCAGGGAATTGTCAAAGATCTGCAGGGAATCGGTGCTATCACTGAGGTAAGATACTCAGGGAATTGTCAAAGATCTGCAGGGAATGGGTGCTATCACTGAGGTAAGATACTCAGGGAATTGTCAAAGATCTGCAGAAAATCGGCGCTATCACTGAGGTAAGATACTCAGGGAATTGTCAAAGATCTGCAGGGAATCGGCGCTATCACTGAGGTAAGTTACTCAGGGAATTGTCAAAGATCTGCAGGGAATCGGCGCTATCACTGAGGTAAGATACTCAGGGAATAGTCAAAGATCTTCAGGGAATCGGCGCTATCACTGAGGTAAGTTACTCAGGGAATTGTCAAAGATCTGCATGGAATCGGCGCTATCACTGAGGTAAGTTACTCAGGGAATTGTCAAAGATCTGCATGGAATCGGTGCTATCACTGAGGTAAGTTACTAAGGGAATTGTCAAAGATCTGCATGGAATCGGCGCTATCACTGAGGTACATTACTCAGGGAATTGTCAAAGGTCTGCAGGGAATCAGCGCTATCATTGAGGTAAGTTACTCAGGGAATTGTCAAAGATCTGCAGGGAATCGGCGCCATCACTGAGGTAAGTTACTCAGGGAATTGTCAAAGATCTGCAGGGAATCGGCGCTATCACTGAGGTAAAGTAACTCAGGGAATTGTCAAAGATCTGCAGGGAATCAGCGCTATCACTGAGGTAAGATACTCAGGGAATTGTCAAAGATCTGCAGGGAATCAGCGCTATCACTGAGGTAAAGTAACTCAGGGAATTGTCAAAGATCTGCAGGGAATCGGCGCCATCACTGAGGTAAGTTACTCAGGGAATTGTCAAAGATCTGCAGGGAATGGGTGCTATCACTGAGGTAAGATACTCAGGGAATTGTCAAAGATCTGCAGGGAATCGGCGCTATCACTGAGGTAAGTTACTCAGGGAATTGTCAAAGATCTGCAGGGAATCGGTGCTATCACTAAGGTAAAGTAACTCAGGGAATTGTCAAAGATCTGCAGGGAATCGACGCTATCACTGAGGTTAGTTACTCAGGGAATTGTCAAAGATCTGCAGGGAATCGGCACTCTCACTGAGGTAAGATACTCAGGGAATTGTCAAAGATCTGCAGGGAATCGGCGCTTTCACTGAGGTAAAGTTATTCATGGAAAACATTGAAGAGCTTCTCAGTTGATCAGGAAAATCACTAAAAGACGCAAGTCAGTTAACCAGGGAAATAACCACCCAGAGAAAGTC